ATTTATATTTTCTAAAATAAACATATATTTTTATATAACTTAATAAATGTGTGTATATAAATATAATCTATGATATATGTACTTTTAATTTAGTACATATAATTAAATTTAACAGAAATCGATCTGGGCAAAATAACAACCGCATGTGTTTGTCTCGAACAAAATGTCAAGGGCCAAATATTTCCTGTATCTAGGTCGGTGATCTATTTTCTTTGACCTAGGGCTCGAGGGGGCAAAAAGAGGTCAAGCTGTTGAAGCAGGATCTTATCGGGGCGACTGGGATCGAAAGTCGGTACTTGGACGCTCGTTCGAAGGGCAAGTGGGGGAACACAGAGAAGGCAGGAAAAGAAATGGTTTAGTTATGAAGACGGCATTACAAAAGAGAAAATTTTCGAACATGCTCTCTTGTCTGAAGGATACGAGTCGTGGACGAATGTCGGTGAACACAATAATTGCCTACATGCACAAAGTGTAGCTTTCAGCATTCATTTATAATTTTTTGATCTTATGTGAATCTGAATACGTAGAATGAGTAGATCTACCTTTTGAGGAGTACAAATGTAATTATGGTTGTCTGTCTGTGTGTGTAGTTGCTTTCATTTTTATCTTTCTCCCTTTCTTTCTTTGTTTCTTCCATTTCGTCGTTTGTCCTTCCTCTCCTCCACGTCTCTGTTTCTCTCTCTCTATCTGGTCTGAGATATATACCACTAAAACAGGTTATGCCTTATTTTCTACTGGGGTGAGAGATGGGTTATCTAGTAGGTCACCAGCCTTTCTTTACAATACAAGCAGTGTCCCAAGAAAGCAAAAGTAGGGAGGTAGAAGTGTTTTACTAGTTTTTATTTCTAATCTGAAACATCAGTGTCGGTCGCTGGTTCGGCCTAGTAAGTGGGGTTTTCCAGTGAACGTAGTTAAGTAAGGCTGTGGTATTTTATGTAGAGCAAATGGCTACGACCTTGTCACGTTTCACAACGGTACCAACTGTTTAGTGGCGGTGGGTAGTGAAGGGCTCACGGGATTGAGCTGCACTCTACCCTTATGTACATGAACGTTTCTTCAATAATGAAATAATCAGTTGAAACCGTTATCATCGCAAGGAATGAACACACAGTGACAATTTGGTGGCTTGCTCGTTTATCCTATCACTGTTGTCACCACCTATAATTATAGTGACCTAACAGCCAATCAGTTGTCTTTAGGGCTCAGCAGAGGATAAGCCCATTCCCACAGTACGTCCTTAATGAAACTCTTCTTGTAAAAAGGTAGAAGATTTGAAAAAACAACAGTGTACTGAGGGCTCACGCTCTCCCGGCCCTAACAATGGGGTGGAAGTTTTCGAGACACTTTCCCTTAGTGACACAGTTACCTATGCACTCATTGGACCTTGGTTGGGTGCGTTCTACTTTTCGCGACTACACAGTCTTATTCCGTTCACAAACGGAATATGTTTTAAGTATTGTTTGTGCGTGTTTGTGTTTAGATCTATGTCGCTGAGAAATAAAAGTAATCACGTCGAACCAGATGAAATTAGAAGAAATTTGGAGAGGAAACGGCTTCGTCCCTCACTATCCAGAAGAATTTAACTTAGAGACTGAGAAAATATTATAGACCACATTTTTATTGGCCTAAAATTAATACAGTTGTATTTGACTTTATTTGGCCTAAAATCTAAAAGTAACAGTATTATCCCCATAGCACACACTGCCAGAAGCTAGATTAGAACAGGTTCTACCTAGATGTACATGAACATTTTGGTTCACGTCAGCTGGAGGAGGGGGGGGGGTCCTGGGACGGATGACATAAGATGACAAGGTAGGGAGTCATTTTTGGCCAAATATTAGCTGACGTCATTTGCAAACGGTACCTTAGAACAAAGAGATGTGAGGCAAAGCTGACTCTTCTCGTTTGAATGATTCTCAAAATGCCGTGGCTCACCGTAAGTATAGAAATAGTCATCACTGTTTAGTTCCTATTGCTTGTATTTGTGTTGAAGAGGTGGAAGTAACCTAAGCCCCACCCAAATTTTGATCCACCCACCGCCACTGCAACTGTTGGTAATCAACAAACTGCACTCGTGCCTTTAGCACTTCAACCCTGAATTGAGGGCTTAGACCACCGACCGCCACTACAGCTGTAGTGAGTAAATAACTGACGACAGCCTTGCTATCATCATATCTTTGAAATACAGCTACTGAATAAAAATAGTTAAAACAAAGTAAATTTCATCTTGTTTATCCTCTTGGGAAATGTGTTTTACAATGTCGTAGGCCTACTTAAATACATAAATACATTTGTACGTAAATGCATGAATAATACACAACAAAACAATCATTGGTAATCTACACACCATTGTTGGTCAGCACTGTGCTGCGCCCTGTCAGTTTTTCAGCTTGATTTATCTTGTGCTGCTCCAGGACACACTCCAGTAACCACCCATCTAAACGCCATTGCACCAATACACATTTGACATTTAAATACATGTCTAAGAACAGAAAATGCAAAAAGTAAGATTCCTCTAAATGCGCAAATACTATTTCCAGGAAAATATCTCTACATTATAGGAAGAAATTGTTGGAGAGCTACATAAAATGATTTCCTATTTTCCTATATATAATATAGTATAGTGCTGAGACCTGGACTTAAACAAAGAAAAAAAAACAAGTCTGAGTTTACGATGTGGTGCTATCGCAGAATAGTCACAATGTGCTGGAAAGCAAAAAAGACAAACATTGAGGTGATCCAGATTCTCCATACAAGATGAACCCTGCTTTAAAAAACAGAAAAATGTGTCCTTTGTGTGACTATTCATATGAGACAGTGGAACATCACCTTTTCCACTGTACAGCCCTAAATGACATCAGAGCTACCCTTCTCCCTCCGAGACCTAACTTCGACAACACACTCTACGGAACATTACAGCAACTGCAGCAAACCTGCACTTATCGCTACATGGCTTTGGACAGAAGGGCGAGACCCCAGATGTTGCTGGATCGATAACAACAACAACAACAACAACAATAACAACAAAAATGGGATACTTGTACTTTGGTCATACAAAACGCCACTGGACCATTATGAAGGAAATACTCAAAGTCAAGATGTGGGTCAAGGTGAAGGCAATGTTTAGGTTTGACCTTATATTGACCACTAGCAAGAGAATTTCAAAGGAAATAATGTTATCGTGGAGAAAGGCGAAGAATAAAAATTCAGCGTATGGGGACAAAAGGATAAAAAAGCAGGGAGTCAGATTAAAAGTGCAAATGGAAAGGAAGAAACAAAAAAGAAAGAAGCACACATGAAGAAAGAACAGAAAAAGATGATACTGAAGGAAAACAAAAAGGATAGAACTATAATAAAGTTAAATACCGAAGACAATATTAAGAAATGGGATGAAAAGAAAAAATATAAAGATTTATCCTCGCCAGCTTTGGTGACATTGAGATTATTCCCAATGATAACGTTGATGAGAATGAGCCCAAAGCTTTAGAGAAGGCGGATGAGTGAGCTTAAATGCTAGTGGATACATTTATAAGCTGATCAACCAACGAGAGCTCGGAAACAAACTAAGATTATCAGTATTTGAACCTAGCAAATGTAATGAATGCTGAAAGCGGCATGAATGAAGAGATGCAGACCCATCAAATGACATGAATCCAGACCTGACGTCGTTAATATCAAGTCTTTGGGCGACAGTAGATCAGACTAATAATGCATTTGCATCACTTCTTGTTGATGGTTTACTCCTTTGATAATGGGCACCAGATAAGAAAAACTAATTGGTTATTGTGTGAGTATGTTGGGGGGGGGGAGTGTATGTGTGTGTGTGTGTGTGTGTGTGTGTGTGTGTGTGTGTGTGTGTGTGTGTGTGTGTGTGTGTGTGTGTGAGAGAGAGAGAGAGAGAGAGAGAGAGAAAGAGAGAGGGGGAGAGAGAAAGAGAAAGAGAGAGAGAGAGAGAGAGAGAGAGAGAGAGATATGTTTTTTTAGTTCTAAATAATATGATCTATACTTTAAC